GTGCCAGTCGTTGGACCTGTACCAGTCGTTGGACCAGTACCAGTCGTTTGACCAGTGCCCGTCGTTGGACTAGTTGGTGTGGTCGATCCCTTTGTGGGTGTAGCTGTTGATAATGAAGAACCAGCTTTAAAGTTAGGATTTGACGGTCCTGATTGGCCAGGTCGAATTTTCTCGCCGGCCAACTCGAAATTAAGGTTCCCATTCTTTAAAATGGCAGTTCCCTTGATATTGAACCTCACGGGTGGGGGATCGTCCGCTAATCTTCCTATACAAAACACCACACAATTGTATAGTCGCAAGAATCTTTTGTTAAATGCGTAAAAAGGCTATGTCTTTTCTTGATTTTTTCCAACTGTTTTTTTTTCCTCCTGTTTTTATCTTAGCAGAGCTTCTTTGTTTTCTTTTCTTTGTTTGTTTTAATTTTTTTTATCTTTCAACTTTAACAGGCTAAATTTTGGCAGCTTTGCATCAATTTTTTAGAGTGCAGATTAAACTTCCGTGATTAAATATAGAACGTCATTATATTGTTAAACCCGAAGAATTGCAAGGGTGGACACAACGCCTCTGTCCAAATATTATTTTTGAGATCATTGTTGGTGTATTTCCAATATCACGTAATTATTTTCCAATTTCCCCTGGAGCAAAATCTGGCAATTCATATAAATTCTTCCATGTTGTTATTTTAATTATTAAATATGTTTTAACAGTTTTTCAACTTAACTTACGTTTCAGTTTTACGCCGAACGCCAGGCCAATTTTGTTGCCGGCTTTTGCGGCCCATTTCCCCATTTTCGATTCCTTCATCTTTTGTTTCCAGCTTGGTTTCTTTTTACCACCTTTATCAAAAAACGCACTCTTTCCTTGCCAAACGGTCAGTTGCAGTATGAATAGCAGTAAAGATAAACGCAACACTTTCATCTCCTCCTGAAGAACAAAAAGCAAGAACTTTCACTACGGACGTGTTGAGAAAAACTTAAAGCCCATACTTTGAGTTATTACCTTACAGTAGTAAGCACATGCATGCTAACTAGTACTTAAAGTGTGATTGAAAAACTTTGCAGGAATAATTTGATAACGTACCTTGCCGTGACCAAAATTTGGTTAAAAAATAACCGGAAAAAAGTTGCTCCGTGGGCTCTAGTGGACAGGATGAAATATGAGCAAGAATGTTGTGGCTAATTGATCATGCAGGTTATCTTAAGACTGCCCCTATTGGTTAAGAATTTAATGGTGGTAATGATATATGTTTGGAGAATGATTACCTGTTATACGACACAGGCCCCTATTATGGTGCCTTGTATGTTCTTATAAGAGAGGGCGTGTCGATAAATAGTTATTGCTAATGGAAACTGCCTATCCAGAAGTGAATGTGGTAGACAATGTCTATATCCATATGGGTCCTACGCCAGCTTTTGAAAGCATTTGACTTTAAAAGTATTGTCATCGAAAGATAATTTACTTCAAGATCCACAAATACCTCTCTCTGTAACCCAACCTTAGCTATGGTTGTTATTTCACTTAGCTGCTAATGGATTCGGAACTGGTGACCGTTTTATGAAGTGCTATGTAAACTGATACATATTGGAACATCCAGTTGACGACATCGCAAATATATCATTTAGAGATCAGATCTTCGACCTTAAAAATATTTTCTTTCTAATGTATATCTTAAGCTTAGCCTACATTACTGGTTTATCTCTATGGAAATCACAGCAAGCAAAGCGAGGTGTTCTCGATCAGATGGGTTCCAAGAAAATCTAAATCGTGTCCCGACTAAAGAGGTGTTTAAATAAGAACTTGTTCTGATATTTTGATAAATCCAAAAGAGAATTATTTTATTTATAAGATTGGACTTGATGGTGATGTTGGTGGCTTCTCGTTCGCGGATAATCGTCGAAATCCACGTACAGTTCGTCTCCAGGGTGGACATGGACAGCGTGAGTGAATCCTACCCAAAGGCACCCGTCGAGGTCTCAAACCTTTCGCCGATTATAAGCCCAGCGTGGTAACTTCTCGGCCAATGCATTTCTTATGCTCTGAGAATAAATAGCAACTATTACGCACCTTTGAAATTGCAGTTATAGTAAATCTATATCCTACAATTACGAAAGGTTTCTTAACGTGAGACTTGTTTGCTTTGTGTCAGCTACTTTAAAAGTAGGATTTGATTAGTAAGTTTCCGTACGAAAGGAGATTATGCACTGGCTCAATCGAATTTTACAGGTTTGAAAAATTCGAGAAAGTACAAAATTAGGTCAAAAACTACCTACCAGCACAAATTAAATTTGTAAACATAAAGCTTCAACTGATCTTATCTGAAAGCGGAGATTTGTCTTTTATGTCCACAGAACTTTCCGACGGGCCCGAAACGAGCTGAGATGTTTAAACAACGAAAAAAATCTGACATCCATTTCTTATGGGGAATTCTTCCTTTCGTCTCCATCGCCCCTCAGTTGTCACCTTGACGTGCTCATTCGAATTGGTGAAAGGTAAATACCAGCTTGTAACATCTGACGATACAGGATTCGCAATTTTATCTCATATAATAAAAATATTAATATCCTTACTGACAAAAAATATCTCCGCGATATCGTTATAACAAACACACCTTTAATGGGAAACTACTTATAATGCATAAACTTAAACACAAACGCCTCTTCCAGACACTGACTTTGGGAAGCTGGTTTACCGATTGCAAAAAACATTCTCCCCTCAGCAGATCAACAATTATTGGTACCAAAACAGTGAGTTATCAGCAACATTCCACAGACAACCGAACCAAACACAGCTACCTAACTGAACCAACGGATTGAAACTGATCAATTACAAATGGCTTATCTAGCCTTCACAGAATAACTCTCACCTGGATGATCAGGCCGTTACAAAAACCAGTCCTGAGTTCGAATTAAACATTTATGCATTGTGATCTGTGAGGCAAGGAGGGTGCTAGTGTCAGATTTTTTTTCGGAATAACTGTTGCCTTTTAGTGGCTGAATCTCCATGGAAGCAAGTACCTGAGAATACGGCAGAATTTGGGGTTAAATGGAGGCTGTTGGTCGAAGAACCCCCAACGCTATTTCCATTTATTTTCCTTCCTGTTTCTGACAAAATTCCACCTTCTCATACGTTGAAATTGTTCATTTCTTTAAGGGGGAAACTTAAATCTAACGGCAATTGAGGTCCCAGACATTGCAGTTTACCTAAGATTAAAATTACTTTACTCGCAGGTTATCAAATGAAGGCTTCAAATATTTTTTACAGACAAAAACCTCTTTATTTCATTATCTATGTCTTTTCGCATAGTTTTCTTGAATGCAAGGAACTGGTCAGGATAGGATGTAGATCTAACTTGATTAAAAATATATGACAAGTCCACCATCATATATAGAAAATTATTAAACTGTTTTTTCATTAACACCAGCATGGTGCTATATTATGAAAAGTTCCTTACAATTTTCTCCTAAAATCGACTCAAATTATGCAGTTGTCAAGTAATATTGTTCAAGTATTAACGTCGTATAGTAACGAAGATGTTAAAGAAAGTTTTCACCTTTTTTGCTGCATTTAAATTCCTCTTTGGAATGGTCCAATATAAGAGAACGTAATAAGCTTTCCCCAACTTATAATTGGGGAGGGAGGAAGTGCATGTTATTTACAAAATTTTAATCAAAGAGTCTTTAGACAGATGAGCTCTAGTAATGAATGCTCTGGGCCTATCTTTGTTGGGATCTGTTGACAAATATTGACTATTGACTCCGTGACCTCTGTCAACATTTTGGTAATAACCAGGGGTTGTGCTGTAACCATAGGAACCATGGTTGCCTTCAAACTTGCTTAATCCATGAAGACTTTGTTTATCAAAATCACTAAACCTTTGTGGCTTATTCTGATTCTCTTTTTGGTATGGTACATTTTTATCTTGTTGGTAGTTGTCCTGACTCGGTGTGGCTTGTCTTTGAGCGTCTTCCTTGCATTCCACTGCACTACAATTGTAAGCAACTGGGTCAAAGGTACCAATTTCTATGTTTTCTTTTATGCCCACTTTATTGTTACTTTTCGGTTTATAACGAACTACAATAAAAGAACAGTTCATTCCCCACTTGGTACCAAATGCTCTTCCAACACCAATCTCTTCTGTCGCTTTCCATACAAGCTGAGCAAAATGCGAAGATACTCCACCGAAAGTAGGCAACGAGAAGTTATGGCAGCAAGCCTCATCGTACCTTATGAATCAATCAAAAATTATTTGGTCAATAAAACTATTAGTCCATCAATCATATCATCATCAATAAACTAATATGTCGTTAAAAAAATTTTTAATTTAATCAGTCAGGTGATTGAAATAGTAGCTATTCCTTCAACCATCCTGCCGTTCACCTGATCCACCTGTCTGGCAGCTAATCAATCAGTCACTGTTCGTCAGGATAGTCAATTGGCTGGTCAATCGGTCAGTGAGTCAGTTTACTGGACAGTCATTCAGTTAGCCAGTGAGCTATTCAGTCGGTTAATCAATCACCAGTCAGTCACTCAGCCACTCAGCCTGTTATTCGGCCAGTCAGTCAGTCAGTCAGTCGGTCGTTCAGTCGGTCAGTGAACCGAAAACCCATTAAGTAAACCAGTCAGTCATGGGTAGACGGGCAAGTAAATGTTAATCGGTCGATGCATATCTCGCCAGCCAAACCAGTCAGACAGCGATTGGTCAGTTAGCAAGTCATTTAGGCACGAATCCTGAAGGCATACAGGTACGCAAAAGGGCAGTCAATTTATCACTCAATCAAGTCAATCAATCTGTTATAATTACTAAATTATTATTATTATTATTAAAGTTATTAAATACTTTTTAAATGAACACAACGACTCAGTCGTGTAGTAGTTGTAGTCGTTGTTGTCGGGAGTGATCGATTGTTTGGAAAGCTGTAAAGAGAGAGAATTACTGTCATTGATTGTTCATTTCGAGGAACTTTGGAGAAAAGTGTGAGTTTGTGTCAGTGCTAAGCTAAGATCTAGAGTGTAGTGAGCTTAAGTAGGTTTATTGAGGATAATTACTGTACTGCCTTTAGGATCCGCTCCTTATTAAGAATATTACAAGTTGTTTGATAAAGTAGTTGAGTATGTCGGATTGAAGAGTCCTGTAATAATGAAGTTTGATCGTCCGGGTGAGTGTAGTCCTGAGAAGGACTGTTGTTGGTAGTGGTGACTGACGTTTCGACAACCTGAGCGGAAGTTATCATCGGAGTGAAGTTAACGGTTGTTATCAGTCTAATGTTTTCGGTCCGATTTGTATAAACTGATTGGTCACTTTTGCCGTGATGTTATTGGCTGTAAGACTCAAGTGTCCTTTCTGTCGGTTAAATTATACTGTAATGCACATCATACCATTTGGCAATAGCTTCTCTTGCAGTTATTCCATCTCCTTCACCCTCTATGCATCCCATAGCCAGGTTCTCGCCTTCTCCTTTTCCTAATCCCTCCTCGATGGATGCATGTCGAAGATCTTTCTCGGCAGCCAGTTTCAAAGCCCACTCCTTGGCCGCGATAGACATGTTTGTATTGTTTTGAACTGGTGGCGAAAAGTGCACGGAGCGAAGCTCGTTGTGAAAGGCAATCATATCATCTATGAACTGATTGTCTGAAATGATTTAATATGTAAAACAACAAACTTAGCGAAATATCAGTATCAAGTAACACTAGTAGAATTTTGATTTCACCATCAATTTGTATCTATTGATAGCATTTACTGAGTATCAGCTCAGAGTAATATCCATGCAAATGCTCGATTACTGGCCAATTCTCTCTGTACATTGCTCAGCCTGTTTTTCTTTTTTCTTTTTCCCGCAGAAGGATGATAGCAGTGATCCTATCCCTCCATGAATTGTTACTGATTGGGAACAACAAGCCCAGTAATGGAGTACTGAGGACTATTGGAATTGTAATATAGCATATTTTTATTTTATTTTAACTTATTTTCTCGAAGATATTAGCTCTACAGCTACACTGTAAATTTCGAGCATAAATAAAGTATATGTATCTTTATAGCTAAGGATTCATTTCTTTCTCCTGCTTACCTTTTGGTGTTAGAAAATTTCCAGGCCTTTTCGCTTTACTCTTTACTGGCAAACCTGAGGGACTAACTTTGCTCGAGGGAAGTGATGTGATGATAGCAGTTGCCTTATCCTTTGATGTGTGCAATGGCATCCCTATCACCAGTTTTAATCCTATCTCTGCCGAACTGTTCGACATGTAGTATGTTCCTTTACCCTGAACACTGCTGTCAGAAATCTTGAACGTTCCCGATGCCTGGCTTAAAGAAGCTAAGAAATACGTTTTTATTGCATTATTCCCGCATAGATTTTGAGTTTTGAGAGACAATTCAATTTTCTCCCTTACCTGCGATTGCTCTATAGGGCGCTAAACATATGAAGAGGACAGCAACACAGATATGAGCATCTTTACACATCATGCTAGATGAAATAAATAGAAGCTAAGAATGTGGATACATATTTTGTTCTGGGAAATACACATGTGCGCAGTTTTATTTAGCTTAGCCTCCCCTCGCCCCACTCCCCTTTCCCCCATTCTTCCCCAGTTCGAATTCGTTTGCATAGCGTGGAGCTTGAGATGTTCCTCTGAAGATAACTTAATAAGAAAAACATGACCGGAGTGCAGGTGAGTCAAGTGAGCGGCCATTCAGTTTTCTCGCCATTCAAAGTATGGACTCAACATAATAAATAAAGCTACCATGATTAAGGTATACTTTTAAAGGTTTCTTTGACGATAAATTTTGCGCCCTCAATGTTAGCAACTGGGTAGACAGAAAATATCAGTGGAAGTTACGGTAACAGTAATTGACTTTTCTAGTCGCCATACAAATTTAAACACAGAACTCATCCTTCAGTACTATACCCGTGCAAAAGTATCCTCTCAACAAGATGAGACAAACTTTAATACTAAGGTTATACGTGTTTTGAAAAATCTCAGTCGCCAAACCTCGCGCAAAACTTTTTTCGTACTACAATCTTGGTTTAGAAGCCTTTGTTCACGGATCCTTCACTGATTTTTATGAAGTAAAATCGTCATTTCTACTATTGAATGAAGTCCTGTTTATATCAATTACTTTAATCCAGTTTATACCCTACCTTACATTGGTGTATAGAATGATTACTCTTTCTTGTAATCCCTTTTGTTCCAAGCTTCAGTGTATTTCTGATTTGAATACAGCCTCTTGATGGAGGTCATGATGTTTGACCTTGCCCCGTTTTTGAACCATTATGAAATGCGGGAGTTGGTGAACCCTGGCAAAGTCACTTAAGTGGTTCAGGACTTTAACGTAGTTATTACCCTTTACATCGTATTTGAAGTCATTGTAGATTCTTCAACATTGGCTACTTATATTAAAAATGATTCTATGCACTACCTAAATGTGGGTGTTTTTAAATAATGTTTGCTGAAGAAAGAAAATACGACTTGAACCTCATGTTACTGCATTTGACCTAGCAGGTTGACAAGACAGTCGTGGTAATACAACCATTGTTTACAAGTTTGTGACATTAAAAATGAATACTTCGACCGTGGAAATAATGATCGACCGTCCTAGGAAAGTCTCCAATTGTTTAGGGAGCTAAACTGGTAAATAAAAGACTGAAATAAAAAATGACAACAAAAAAACAAACAAAACTAAGAGAAAGGTTTGCTTTTTTATATAAAGTTATTTTCTTGCCGTAATTATCAATAAATCTGACTATTATAATCTGCTTTTTCAAGTGCTATTATTTATATTTACGTAAAGAAATATCCGTTGGACAAGGGTATAATCTACTTCTTGGTCGAGCAAGGTTGCGTTGAGGAGGTTCAAGACTTTCTCTCTATTCCCAAAAATCAGTTTCACCGCAATTTGTTATTTTTTCCTTTTCATCTCCATAAAAGCGTTCCAGAAGTGCACATTTATCACCTTCAATTTAGCGTGGAGAGTGGTAATTACATTAAATTACAGCCCTGTGAAAACCATTAATGAACTTCATTATCAATGAATGTGTTCGTCACTTGAGAAACAAAGCACTGCAATTCTCGTTTATTGCTATGAAAATTCAGAGAGAATCAGTTTAGACTCATCTCTCTCTGAGTTCAAAATATGTTTGGTTTAGTTCAGAGGCCTCTGAAGTACCGAAATTACAGTTGCTTTGAACTGTGCGATACATTTGTTTAAAGCCTTGCAGGAAGGTGAACGTTGATCCGTTCGATCATTGCCATTTGATAACAAAGTCAACGTGAAGTTAGAAGGGCAAAATTTTCTGAACTCTCATGTTTTCCTCCGGAAAGCTCAGACACTTAAATGACAAATAATTGATAATACCAGTAGGATGAGTGACACGAAAAATTCGTCACCAATTTGGTAATTTTATATGCTAGAGAGAGAAAAAAGTTATATTTCACACTTTATGTCATCTGCAATTGGTACGATCCTTCATCGTGGAAGGTGTTATTTTCAGCAAACACGGTGTTGATGTTCGTGCGACTTCGTCTGTTAGAAAAGGTTTGACCCTACCAATTTTCCAACAAAATTAATTAAAAAGTTGTGAAAGAATCGGTCCATTGGAGAAGTTGAGCTCAAAAACATCGAAAGCCAACTTTATAGAAATAAATGAATTAGAAGAGATTTTTGTTTATAGAAACAAGCATGCGTTTGTTTTTATCATCTTTGTAGGTTTTGTAGTGACGATATCACGAAACATCAGTCAAACTAATTAAAGAAGTAGATGTTTTAATCTATCAGGCAAGTTTTTAGAGCTTTATTTCTTTCACGAAATATCTTACAAAATCTTATGCAATTGATTCAAGCAAAAACACGTTTGAAGAATTGACTAATAAAGGGATGCAAACAATCAAATTAAGACGTTCGACAATCTCAAAGCGTCCAAACTGCTTTGGGTGAGCGACTACTTTCAATTCTGTTACAAATCTCTATTTTCAAAGACATCCAAGCTGAAATCATTTCTCGGTAGTTTTCATCAAGAAACGTCTCAATCAATGTTTACAAAATTATAATTTTTGGAAAACGCGGTATTTTGGTCCTGTATCTGTTCTTTCTGGAAGCGAGGGTGGACTTCTCTCCATGATGAGGTAACACATCACGCTGAACATTGCTGCAATAAGATGAATCAAAGTGTCCTTTGCTCACATCGTTGGCAAACTCTGACCCGATGTTGCCAAGAGGTCTGTAGCGGGCAACTATAAAGGTGCAGTTCATGCCAAATTTGGTCCCCGTGGCTTTTCCAACGCCTAATTCTCTTGTAGCATTCCACACAAGCTGTGAGAAATGACCAGACTTGTCCTGGTAAGCCTGATTGTAGAAATTGTGACTACATACCTCATCATACCTGATAGATAGGAAGAAGAGAATGAGAAGAGATTATGAATGATGAATACAGCTTAAGGCCACCTCATCTTGTTTAATGAGTGCTCATAAGGAATTTTGTGGCCCAAAAAGATACGTTATTTCTTAAGGAAGCTCGACCATGAGTGTAATTAGTCCTTTGTAGGTAGTCCTCCCTTTGATTTTTTAGAGATGTTCGATGACATGTAATTGGCTGGTATTCTGTTTGTGGCTGGACCAACGCTGGGAGATTACTGCACTCAACACTCTTCAGTCTCACTTAGGTTTGCTTTCTTTGTATAGTTATTTACTTGAGCTGAGTTAAATTACAAAAGGAAAAAACGTCTAAGTATGTAGTGGCTCTCACCATTCCTTCGCTGCATCTTTAGCTGTGATCCCTGGGCCAGAGGAAGTGCATCCCATGGCTAAGTTTTCCCCTTGGTCTGGACGACTAGCTTTATCTGAATGACGTAGGTTTGCTTCCGCTGCAAGTTGAATCGCGAGAGCCTTAGCTTGAAGTGACATGTTTCTGTTCTTCATCAGTGGAGGAGCTAGATGAACTGAACGGAGCTTGTTATGTTCCTCTGCCATTTCGTCCAGAAACTCTTCATCTGAAAGAATTCAAATCCCTATTAAGTTTTCTCATTTTTTTTTCATGAAATATTTCACTTGCGTATGAGCCAGGTGTCCTTAACCACACTAGCCTGGCATAAAGGCACTAGGAACACTTCTAAAACTACTCACGTGGTCTTTGGCATAATTTTAATCCCTTGCAGTTGACCTTTAAGCATGTTACCCAGTTTGCACAGAATTAAGTCCCTTGCCTGAGTGCGAAACAGAATGATCTAGCCCTGGCTCGATCTAATGGAGTACTTGGTTGATTAAATTTTTCAGTTGACAAGTAACATCCACCATTTTGAATCCAGAGTTTAACAGTCACTTGACCTTAACTTTGTACCAAGAACGCATTTTTTACGCAATTATATATATATCCTTCCTGGCAAAATGAAATTAAGAAATGCCGAGGCAATAACTATACATATCTATATGCAGAGCGGGCATTGCTTTGTGTCTCATTGCTCTTACACATATACAAAAACTCATTACGAAATGGCAGCTTTTGCAGCTTTGTAGCGATTATTAATAGACCCCAACTACCTTCTTTTGTAAATGCGAGCTCTGTCTCTGTGTGATCACTCTGAGTTGTTTTGAGTGAATTTACCGGGTTTGGTTTGTCTGCTGTTATGACAACTTCTTGTTTTTGAGCCATTTCTCCTACGACCATGTGAAGGTTGATTTCTGACGTGCCATTGGCTATTGAGAAGGTGCCTTCACCATTAATTCCTTTACCTGAGATGTTGAAATTTCCATCCGCCAAGTTGATGGCAGCTAAAACGTTTCAAAGAAAAGATATCGGAAATTTCACTGACTTTGTACTTCAAGTTCTGAATACAGCATATATGTCGTCGTTAAATCAGTGCAGCGCGTATAGCACAAATGGTGGACTTATGAGAACCTACTCATCAGCTGCTACTGAGATGGAAGCCTGAGTTAATTAAACTGTTTGTAGGCCACATTTTTGCATTTGCAGCCACGTGTGGCCGTTGCAAAAAATTTTGAACATATCAAGTGGTCATTACTGATAAACAAGTCCCATCCCCAAAG